CACACACATACCACACAGAGGTGGAAAAAGCCAGGGCCAGCTTTATCAGGGACCAACCTCCGAACTGCCTCTGCATCTGGGCCTTATTAATGGAGCCGGCCGGCTCTGTCGGGCTCCATAATTTAGCTACTTGCCCACGGATCTGTCTGTCTCACAGACACACACCACACATTCATACACACACACACCACCACACACACACACACACACAGATACAGAAGAGACCACAGAAATACCACAGATGTAAAGAAACATACAGGGATTGATTGCTGCTTGGATAAGAATGCAACATACCCTTTTGGTACGCTTTTATACAAACAGAATCTCAGTGAGCGACGGTCGGAGGGTGTGAGAGGAAGCAAGGAATTTTCCCAAACTAAAAATGAGCTCTGTCCCCAGGTTTTGTCGCTTTTTCAACCCCTTGGGCCCAACTTAGCCACCACCACAGGCAATTCACATAGCGCACCACAGATAGCTTTGGCTTTAGCTGTGGAAATATAGACATTTTTATTTGTTTCTGTTCACTGTCTTGTGAATATTTAATCTGACACTTGCAACAGTAAATATTTGCTGTTGTTAAACTGTTTATTAAAGCTTGCACAGCAAACCCACATACACTAGATCGGGCTGTTGTTGGTATGAAGGGTTTTTACTAGAACTGGTTCAACCTGTTCCAAATTTAAGAGAATTAGGGGAAAAGGCTTGTTGTTATCTGCTAATCAATGCGAGGGTTTGAAGCTGGCTGCTCTTCTTGCCAATATTCACACTGAGCATTTAAAAGTGTACAACATACAGGGTGATTTGTGAAACTGTGCAATCACTTCACCATTATATGTGCAGGAAGAAAGTCTACATAACATTCCAAAAAGATACGGAAGACCACCAAAAATACATAAAACTGGATTTTATATTTACTTTATCACAAATGCCAGTGCCCACTTCAAGCCTGTCTATTGATAAACAGAATGCGGCTCAATCTCCATTAAAGCCGCTCTCCCAGAAAGACTTTGTTATAGCGTGAGCTGCGATGGATCTTGCCTCCAAATGCGGGGCAACAATCATCAATGCACCCTAAAGATCAAAGCTGCTTAGAGAGAAGCAACAAACGGGAGGAAGGGAGGGTGGAGGCTCATTAAGAGTTTAAGGCCTTCATAGGGCAAATTAGAAACTTTCTTCTGCGCCAAAATGTAGAGGGTGGAAGGAAGAAGAGAAAAAAAAGTGTGTTTTAAATGTGGTGTGTGTGCATTAGGGGGGGGGGGGCGGGGGTTC